TGACCTATAATGAAATTTTATGGAGAATATTTTTTACCTTAATACCTCATTTGAAAAACGAAGTATTCGGTGGTAAAATGGGCGAAAATTAGGAACAATCACCAAAAACAGTCGAAATAATTTTTTTTTTAAAATTTCCATATTAATTCCGATATTTTTGCTTATATATTAAACATACCGATTTCTTGTGTTCGGTGGCCTATAATGAAATTTTGTGGAGAACATTTTCTACTTTAACCTCAAGCCTCCAAATTGAAATTTAATGTGACAATTTAGCAATTCTTGAAAATGGTGCAAAAAAAATACCTTTCTGAGGATTTTTTACGGAATTCGTTTGTTTTGAAAATTTTTATTAAAGTTTTCTAATTTGTAAAATTTTGTAAATTTTGTTTTAAGATTTTTTGCCTTTTAATAGTCTTTTAAAAAATATTTTTTGTTTTTTTTTAATTCTAAATTTTATTATGTCCACCAAACCAATTTTCATTGAACTCCTTGTAGTAATAATCCCACCATTTACTCTGTCCACTTATATTCGGCTAGTCAGTCTAGCCTTAGAAAAATCGATAATTCCATTAAAAACAACAACAACAACAAAACGAACCCCCTCCTCTATCAAATCACAATTGCCTTGACACAAATGACATGCCATTATGGACGATGAGCGGCAGGCGCTCGTCTGAGGCTATGGAGAAAGATTTCCGTTTTCGGTTGATAAAACCAAGATGACGATGAAATCACAATTATTTTTTCTAATATTTTTTGAAATATATAAATCAAAATAAAATTTACAACAACACCAAATACATAAAACAATAATGTAATGCTAGAAGAAGAGATTATTTTCAGAAATGTTTAAAATAGTAAACACATGGCATGGGAATCTAAACAAAAATGGCATGGAAGGCCTGGTACGAAGTAAATGAAAAATCGATAAAAACAACAACAAATATTCACACAATAATTTTTATAGTTGTATACAAAAGTTTTAATTTTATAAACAAATTGCAGTATTCAATATTTTAAACTCAAACGGAAGTTCCATATTTTTTCCCAACAAAAAAATCTTACTCACATCATTTTCCTCCTCCTCCTCGTCGGGGGTGTTATGCATAGTGATTATTATTTTTTTCTTTCAAAATTATTTTTCAATATGTTTCAATATTATTCACTTTCCAAGGAATTGTTTCTCTCTTTTTCCCGTTCGACAGAAAAACTATTGAAAATCAACACACGCTAGCCAGAGAACACTCGTCGCACTGCCACAGTAACAAAAACTAAAAGTCGAACCAAGTCATAACAATTTTTTTATATATGAATTGTGGATTTTTTTGAGGTTATTTTCCATTCATTCAACCATTCATTCAGTTAGTTAGCTAGTCAGTCAGTTATTATTGTTTGTTCCCTTGTCAATTTGTAATGGAAATTTGTGTGAGGTTCCTACACCTCCCACCTAACCTCTACCAAAATTCTTCTTAGTTCTCATTTTATTTTCCTGGCTAGAAATGAAATTAACTAATTTCATGGCACTACAAGGGGCACACACATACACACGACACACTCAGATATTATGGCAAGTAGGGAGTAGGGTTCGGGAAATTTTTTTTGTTGTTTTTTAGAGGAAAAAAAGAATAAATATTCCGATCCGTAGCTTTGCTAAGCTAACCAACCAACCACCAGTCACGATAGACAGACACCACCAAAGAGTACTGAAAATAATATTCAATTTATTGACAATTTTTATTGTAGTGGCGTCATAACGTTTAATATTCGAATGTTTGATATGTAGATTGGGTGGATGGACGAACGAATCGAATCAGCCAGGCAAATGGCGTTAAACGAATGGGCAACTTAAAATAACTGGCATTTATGTATCGGCTAGGGAAAATTAATTAATTGGAATAATCGGAAATTTTTAACGGGGGAATCCTTTTCCATCCTTCATGGTGGAAATCCTCTCAAAGGACCATTTTCGTATTTTTTTTTTAATTTTTTTAAGGACATTTAGAGGCTAATATGGGTAAAGGATCACAATAGCCCAAATTAAGAAAATGTTTTTTGAAGCCCAAATGAATATCGATATTTTAGTGCTATATATTATAGATACCGATTTTAATTGGTTGGAGGCATATATTGAAATTTTATGGAGAATATTTTCCTCATTAAGAAAATCTTCGTAAAATATAGTTTTGGAGGTCAATTGGGTCTAATTAGGAAGCAAGTCCAAAATAACTAAAATGGGAATTTTCGTTTTTATAACCAAATTTAATGCGATATTTCCAGGATATATATAACAGCTACCGATTTATTGTGTTCGGTGATATATAGTGACATTTTATGGAGAACATTTTCTTCTTGAAGAAAATCCTTGTAAAATGTAGTATTGGGTATTAATAGGGCCCAAATTACGGATATATACCAAAATAACCAAAAATTTGAACTTTCTTTTTTATAACCCAATTTAAAGCGATATTTACGGAATATATATAATATATACCGATTTCTTGTGTTCGGAGACATATAGTGAAATTTTATGGAGAATATTTTCTTCTTTAAGAAAATCCTTGTAAAATGTAGTTTTGGGGTCAATAGGGCCCAAATTAGGGGTATGTACCAAAATAACCAAAAATGGGAATTTTCTATTTAATACCCAAATTTATAGCAATACTTCATAGATATATATTTAAGATACGGAATTCTTTTGTTCGGGGACATATAGTAAAATTTTATGGAGAATATTTTCTTCCTTGAGAACAGCTTCGTATAATGTAGTTTTAGGTGTCAAATTGGTCTAATTATAGGCCAAGTACCAAAATACCCAAAAATGGGAATTTTCGTTTTTATAGCCAAGTTTAAAGCCATATTTTTGGGATATATATTTAAGATATCGATTTTTTGTGTTCGGTGACATATAGTGAAATTTGATGGAGAATATTTTTTCCGTTTATACCATCCCTCTAAACTATATAAAATTTTTTAAAAAAAATCGACCAATATGGAAAATTTCCAAAAATACCTCAAATTATGATAATATATTTTTATATCCATTTAGAGAATATCGTTAGCCGAATTTTTATTAATATTATTAATATACATATTTTATTAATATACATATTTTATTAATATATATAACATATACCGATTTCTTATGTTTGGAGACTTATAGTGAAATTTGATGGAGAATATTTTCTACCTTATCATCAAACCCGAAAAATTAAGTATTAGGGGTCAATTGGGTCAAATTATAGAGCTAGTGGCCAAATTCGCCAAAATGAGGAATTATTTTTATATATCCAAATTAATATCGATATTTCACTGAAATATATTATATATACCGATTTCATATGTTCGATGACATATAGTGAAATTCGATGAAGAACATTTTCATCCTTAACATTAACCGTCTAAAATTCGGTTTTAGAGGTCAAAATGGTCCTACAATGGAGTAAATGACAAAATAACCCAAATCGAGTAATAATTTTTATATATTCACATTAATATCGATATTTCACAGATTTCCATTATATATACGGATTTCTTATGTTCGGAGGCCTATAGTGAAATTCGATGGAGAATATTTTCCACCTTCACATCGACCCCGAAAAATTAAGTTCTAGGTGTCAAATGAGACAAATATTGGAGCATGTGGCGAAATGATCGAAATCGAGAAATAATTTTTATATTTCTAGATTAAACTCGATTTTTCTCCGATATATATTATATATACCGATTTCTTGTCTTTGGAGACATAGAGTGAAATTCGATGAAGAATATATTTTCCTTTAATACTAACCCCATAAAATGAAGTATTGAGGGTAATTATTGGCCAATATGGAAAAAGGCCCAATATGACACAAACCGACAATTTATGTTTAAATGCCCAAATTAATATCGATATTTCACTGGCCTATATTATATATATCGACTTCTTGTGTTCGGAGGCATTTAAGGAAATTTGATGGAGAATATTTTCTCTCTAAACTCCATCCCCGAAAATTTAAGTTTTGGAGATCAATTGAGTCAAATTATAAAATAACCCAAGTCGATCAATTATTATAGTATATCCAATTTAATATCGATATTTCACTGAAATACATTATATATACCGATTTCTTGTGTTCGGAGACATATTGTGAAATTCGATGAAGAATATTTTCCACCTTCACATAAACCCCGAAAAATTAGGTTCTATGGGTCAAATGGGTCCCATTAAGAAGCTAGTGGCAAAATAACGTAAATCGCGAAATTATTTTTTAATATCAAAATTAATACCGATATTTCTCCGATATATTATATATATATATATATATATCGTTTTCTTGTGATCGGTGACATATTATGGAATTTTATGAAGAATATTTTTCCCTTTACACCACCTCCCGCAACATTAGTATTCGAGGTGAAACTACGCAATTTGGATCTAGTACTCACAAAAAGCTCCCAATAAAAACTTTATTTTATATCTCCATATTACAACCGATATTTTAGCCATATATTTTATATATACCGATTTCTTGTCTGGGGAAACTTATACTGAAATTCGATGTAGAATACATACTTCCTTTACCCCACCCCTCAAAAATGAAATATTGGGCGTTAATTGGACACAGTTATGGAGCTATCACGTAAAAAAAACGCAAAACGAGAAATTCTTGTAATATATCGAAAATCGTTACCGATATCGTGATTAATCTTGCATTTAACGATTTTTTGTGTTCGGTAGCCTATAGTGAAATTTTATGGAGAAGATATTTCCCCTTTACAACAAACCTCTATATGGAGAGGTTAAGGGTCAAATTGGCCATTATTGACAAAATGCATAAAAACAAGCATTCAAATTGTTTAGAATTATCCCCTAATTATATCGGTGATATATATGTATCTATATATAAATATATATTATATATATCCATAAAATCCCAATTTTTATTTTTGTTCTTAATTTAATTAATTAAAATAAAATTAAATAATTAAAAATAATAATAATTGTTTATCATGCTTACTTGTTCATTTAAATTTTCACACACTTCCAAGCTAAGGCCATTCATTTTATTGTTGTTATGATGATTGTTGTTGTTGTTATTGTTTTCCGATTTCTCTTCGTAATCACAAATCAATTTATTTTTAAAATTCTTTAAATTCTCCAATTTAAAACCGTTGGTATTGGTGTTGTTGGTTTTATTGTTACTCTTATTTGTCAGACTCTCCAAATTAATTAATTTACTATTGTTGTTGTTATTGTTATATTCCGCATCCACCAATTTATTATCGATGAAAATCAACGAGTTGGGTCCCGAAGGTGATGGCACAATATCCTCAAAATCCGCTGGATTCAAACTTAAAAAAGTCTCTTGATCAATTAGTATGGGCTGTTTACCATAATCCGTTTCATAGCCACTACAGCCGAGAGAATAGGCTGAAGAATTGGTCATAGACTGGGACGAGGAGTAAGGGGTGTATAGGGTATGCGGGGTGTTGAAATTCAAATTTAAATCTTCCAAACTTTCGGTGGATTGTTTGTGAGCGGATGACTTATCACCAAACGTAAGGATATTATTGTTGAGCGATGATTTTTGTGATTTGTTGATGGCGGTATTTGTTGTGGTAGTTACAGCAGCTGGTCCGACAAATTCAAATTGCCCGGCCCACATATCATAGGCCAAATCAAGACTATCTGGTTGGCTGGCGGGTTGACTTGATGACATGATTTGTTGTGGGGAATTTTTTGTGAGTATTCTTTTTGGTATTTTGGTTGCAGGATTTTTGGAGAGATTTTGTTGATTTTTTATTTTAAGGCACTTTTTTCGTATTTATTTTAAGGAAGACTTTTTGAGTAATTTTTGGTATACTTATGTTTTGTCAAAGTTTTTTACATGATTCAATTTTTTTTGTTTGGGAAAAAATTGTTAAATATCTGAATTAGAAATTTAAAAAAAATATGTATTTAATTTTTGTATTTTTTATTTTCAGGGGCACTGATAAATTGTCATATGTTGTCCTGACGAAACGTGTATTTTTGTGATTAATTGAATTTTGTTATTAATTTGTCCTTATCAACATAGACTTTCAGAAATTTTATTTAAAAGTTCACGCTCACAGCTCTAATAATCATTTCGGAAAAGTTCTCTTAAGAGTTCCAATAATCTTCGGAAAATTGTCTTTCAAAAGACCACACTCAGAGCTCTAATTGTCCTTTGATTTTTTTTTAACCGATCGTTTTTCGGAAAATTATCATAAAAAATCACTCTCAGGTCTCTAAAAGCCTTAGGAGGATTTTTTTTTAAAAAATCCTTCCGGGAATGCCCTTTGAATCCCCTACCCTTTCAGCTCCAACAGCCCTTAATACATTTTTATAAATATAAGTTCTAATAATTGTTACAGAAAATTGTCATTCAAAAAATTCCGCATGTAGCTCTCATAGTTCTTAGGTACGGGAACACACCTATTTTCAAAATAACTCCCTTTTTTATAAAGAATAAATTCATGTTTCCTTAATAAACGCAATATCGTAAATTATAAAACATCCCATTATAATTTTTTGCTCAAAAACATGTGTTTCGTGAAAATTCATAAAATTTTTCAAAACTTTTCTAATATCGTAAATTTTCAAAATTTACGATATCGCAAATTACTGACAAAAATTAGATATTTCAGCACATATGACATTATACAAATCTTTTAAAGTGATTTTGATGAAAAAATTATAAAGTTTCACATCAAATTTCTGATATCGTAAGTTTTAGAAAATATTAGAGTCAATAAATTTGGCGAATTTTTAGTCAAAACGATAGAATACATGTAATAAAAATTTTATTTTATGTTTTTGGTAAGAAAATTGCAAAAATTTGATTAATTTTGTAATATCGTAAGCGTTAGAAAATGATATCGTAAGCACATTTGTGATATTTTTAGTCAAAAAACATTGAAAACATTATAACTATATTATTCTATGATTTTTGTAACAATAAACTTAATATTTTGCATTAAATATGTAATATCGTAAATTTACGATATTGGAATTTGCTAAAAATTTTACGATTTTGTAACATAAAAATGTCACATATACATTTTTACAATAAATTGGTTGCAAAATCACAAATGTTTGCATCATATTTCCTATACCGTAAGTGTTCAAATATAATATCGTAAATAAATACCCATAATTTTTTGTACACTTTTCGCCAATAATCTAAGGTAATTGTATCTAAAGAAATCTATTGAAAAATCATAAAAATAGGTAATATCGTAAATTTACGATATTGGGATTTCTGTAAAAACGGCATGATTTTGTGACAAAAAATTACTTAAATACATTATTACAATTAATTGGGTGAAAAATCACAAATGTTTGCATAATATTTCATATATCGTAAGTGTACAAATATAATATCGTAAATAAATACCCATAATTTTTTGTACACTTTTCGCCAATAATCTAGTGTAAATTGTATCTAAAGAAATCTATTGAAAAATCATAAATTTTTTCATCAAAATAGGTAATATCGTAAATTTACGATATTCAGATTTTTGCGAAAACGGTATGCTTTTGTGAAAAAAATACTCATATACATTATTACAATTAATTGGGTGAAAAATCACAAATGTTTGCATAATATTTCATATATCGTAAGTGTACAAATATAATATCGTAAATAAATTCTCGTAATTTTATGTACACTTTTCGCCAATAATCTAGAATAAATAGTATCTAAAGAAATCTATTGAAAAATCATAAATTTTTTCATCAAAATAGGTAATATCGTAAAATTACGATTTTCAGATTTTTGCGAAAACGGTATGATTTTGTGAAAAAAAATTACTCATATACATTATTACAATTGATGGGATGAAAATTCAGCAATCTTTGCATTATATTTCATATATCGTATATGTTCAAATATAATATCGTAAATAAATTTCATAAATTTATGATATGAGAACTAAAAGTTTTTTTTTTTCAAATTAAAAATATGAACTTTGTTACTCTGAATATAATACGATATTATAAAAATAATTGTATAACCCAAAAATCTCATTCCATAAATTTACGATATTAACATAAAAAAACTTTTTGTCAAGAAAATTGCATTGCCTTTCATTTAATTTTCTTTCGCAATTTATTTTCCTTTTCAAAATCCTGTTTGAATTATTACCGCATATTTTCCTCTGTCATAAGAGGATGAAAAAGAGGAGGAAGAAAGAGAGTACAGGAAACATATTTACGATAAATATTAGTTTATGATACCCTTAAGCCATTTGTCATTTTGTTGATTGCCCTGTCTCACATAATCTGAGCTCAGAGTCTATGATCTCTGGAATCTCTGGTGTGGGAAAATACGGCTTCATTTGAAAGTTCAAAGTTTTGCAGCAGCCGCATTATAATAATTGTTGTATTATTACGATATTAGCTAAACAAATATTTGTGGTAACGAAGAAAAAATGAAAGAAAATAAACAGCCACTGAGACTAATAAACCCCACGAACGACTGCAGAGTAAATCTTTAAACGGCCTTCAATTATTAAATGCTTAACCAGTGAACCGCCACCAACCCGACCGACCGACCAACCAACCGATCAATCACTTAACAGTTTTCCATGCCATCATCACCGCCAATTATAATTATCGGCTTTGTGTGTTTGTTGTTGGGTTTGTGTCAACTATTATGAAAGTGTGTGTGGTGATGATGGTTGCATTTCTTTTTTTCTGCTCTTCGAAGAGAGAGGGAGGAAGAGAGAATCTACTAATCATCACCTTTCAGGCATTATAATTGTAATGATGTGACTAGGCGGCAAATGACAGCACATTAGAAAGAGAGTGAAAGGGAGGGGAAGATGGGGAGGGGATGCCGTTTCTTTCTGTCACTAATAATTATGACCATATTTATTTGCTGAAAACCAAACAACAGCAACAACAACCCCAAGAAAAATTCGTTTTAAAACAAATACCTCCAATGGCAACCAATTATTGCAACGTGATCTCAACCTACAACTTTCACTTGCAACAAAACGCAAATCGCATACGACAACAACAACCAGGGGCGAGAGGGGGTTGCACTGACAACATTCACATACCAAATTGGTTTGCTGATTTATTTGTTGTTGTTCGACCAAGTTTCCTGTGAATGTCGTCTATGATTTTTTGTATTCCTTCTCCTGACTTCTCGAAATTTTTCTTTGGTTGTGGCATTTTTTGGCAAAGATAACCTGAGCGGCGTCCATTTGGCTAGTTAGTTAAGTTATGCTGTAACTTGTTGCAATTGTCAAGTGTATGCTGTGTGCATGATCATGATATGGCTGGACATGGACATTTTTAAAATATTTCAAATTTTTCAACGTTTTTGGTTTTCATAATAAGTCGTCCCGAGGGGAACCTATCTGATTGGAGATTGTGTGGTGAATTAAAGATTTGTGTTTGAAGCCAATTTTTTTTGGTTCAATTACATGAAAAGTAATCAAAAAGTATAAATTCGAAAAAATAATAAAAAATTGCAAAAAAAATCAAATATCGTAAATTTTTAAAAATTACGATATTAGAATTTTCTGACCAAATTTGGCAAATAATGATAAAAAACATAATATTTAATAATTTTTATGTTAATTAGCTAAGAAAAGCCGAATATCGTAACTTTAAAAAATTACGATATTAAAATATAATATAAATATAAGGAATTCGAATTCAAAAAACGTATGTAAATGATATTTAATATGTTTCAAGATTTATTTTACAAAATATCTGACTATCAACCTGAATATCGTAACTTTAAAAAAAATACGATATTAAAATCGAAGTGCAAAATCAAGGAATTCAAATTCAAAAAATGTGTATAAGTAATGTATAATATGTTTAAAAATTTATTTTACGAAAAATCTGACTATTAACCTGAATATCGTAACTTCAAAGAATTACGGTATTAAAATAGAAGTACAAAATCAAAAAATTCAAATTCCAAAAATGTATGTAAATGATATATAACATGTTTCAAGATTTATTTTGCGAAAAATCCGACTATCAACTTGAATATCGTAACTTCAAAAAAATTACGATATTAAAATAGAAGTGCAAAATCAAGGAATTCTAATTCCAAAAATGTATATAAATGATATATAATAAATGTATATAAATGATATATTTATTTTACAAAAAATCTCACTATTAATATGTTTTAAAAATTACGATATTAGAATTTTGTAACAAAACAAGGTAATTATAATTGAATTAAATAATAAAATTAAACAACTGGAGGCACCCAATGTATAATGCTAGAATTTTAGTTAATTTGCTGAAATAATCGAATTTCTTAAATTTGTGAAAATTACGATATTAAAAAAATAGCGGCAAAAATCAAGCAAATAAATATTAAAAAGTCTTTATATATGGTTACTAACATTAATATAGATTTATTTTATGAAAAATCTAAACATAAATATCTTCTAAAAATTACGATATTAGAGTTAAGTAGTAAAATTAGGTAACCATTATCGAATTAATTAATGCAATTAAGAAGCTGAGGGCACAAACAATCCACATTGGTCTTAATCGAGTTAAATTGCCTAAAAAATTGAATATCGTAAATGTTTAAAACTTACGATATAAACATATAGTGACAAAATCTATAAATTAAAGGACACAAAATCCCTATTATTGTTATATAACATTAATATAGATGCATTTTATGATAAATGTAAGTATACACCAGCTTTTAAAAATTACGATATTAGAATTTAGTGACACATTATGTAAGGAAATCCAAATTAAGTG